GTGGGAGGGTCCAGCAGGGCGGGCGGGAGGGCGGGTCTCGCCGCGGCGGCGTTCCCTCCTCCCACGCCCCTGTCGGCCCCGCGGCAGGGCAGGGCCACCACCAGTGTTCCCTCTAAGCTGAGTTAGTGTGAGCTGACTCACAGTTTTTTAGCCTCCGGCCATAGTTCCCTCTAAGCTGAGTTAGTGTGAGCCAGCTCACAGATTTTTAGCCTCCGGCTCACACATTTTTGTCTTAGCTCAGGAAGGAGGGCTCCAGAGTAAACTGATTTATGCAGCAGCCAAATCGCTCGCTCACCACTTTAGTGCCAGGAGCTCACAAAGTAGAATTTTTGCTCACAAGACTCCACAGCTTAGAGGGAACATTGCCTCTGGCTCACACATTTTTGTCTTAGCTCAGGAAGGGATGGCTCCAGAGCAAACTAATTTATGCAGCAGCCTGGGGTGGTGGCAGGGTTGGGCACGCCCCTAGGGCCAAAGGGGGCCCTCTTTCTGCACCAGGGCGGCAGCGTGGCCTACAAGCGCGTGATGCAATAGCCTGGCTGGAGACGCGGCGGACATCCCCAGAGCGCCTCTGTATGCTGCCCCGGGCAACAGTCAATGTCACGGTGAACGTGAATTTCAGGGACGGCCTCTTCCCAGGCCCCGGAGCTCTGCTTCTCCAGTATCCCCTTCTTTGGGCTATAAGGGTGCAATTTAAAAAAAATAAAAAATAAACGCAGAGGCTCATTTGCAAGGAGGTGGCGTTCCAACCCAGGGGCTCTTGCAAGGAGCTGTGCATCCTGCGGCACAAGAGCGAAGTTCTCGCCTTCCCTGCCCACAGCCATTATTTGGATGCAGCCACAACTGGATCTAGGGCTGCCAGGTCCCCCCTGGCCATCAGCAGGGGATGGGAGGTGGGGTTGCCAGATCCAGGTTGGGAAACTGGTGGAGATTTGGGGATGGAGACGGGGGGCAGGGACCTCAGTGGGGTACAAGGCCACAGAGTCCACCCTCCTCCAAAGCATCCATTTTCTCCAGGAGAAGGGATCACTGTTGTCTGGAGATGAGCTGTAATTCCAGGGGATCCCCAGGTCCCACCTGGAGGCTGGCATCACCAACTGGTCACAACTGGGCCCTGAGCTGGATGGCCCAGGCTAGCCAGATCTCGGAAGCTTAGCAGGGGCAGCCCTGGTTAGCATTTGGATGGGAGAGCACCAAGGAAACCTAGGGCTGCTGCACAGAGGCAGGCCAGGGCAAATCACCTCCTTCGTCTTTTGCCTTGAAACCTTACAGGGTTGCCATACATTGACTGCCTGCAACTTGGTGAAGCTATGCACACACACACACACAGAACACAACTGGCAGGATTCAGCTAACAAATGGGGCAGATGCTCCTAAGGTCAGGGAGTTTAGTGCCCCCAAATGCATGCAGCTGTAAAGATGCTATCACAGCATCTGTGGGTGTGGTCAGACGGTGTGCTAAGAGCAGGTTAAACTGCTCCGGTTCTAACCGGATATATTTGATCTGGATAATTGTGATCACACCTCCCTTATCCCGCCTCACCGCGCAGTCATGTCGCTCCCCAGCGTCTACACTACCGATGCGCGGGAGTGTGCATCGGCGAGGTTTTTAATTTTTTTCTGTTTGCGCATGTGCACAGGCGCCCCTCCGTAGAATAGGGGGGAACTATCATGGCACATGTGCAGAACCACCAAGGCGAATCAATCCAACCCCTCCAACAAAAGACTTCCCTTTAAAAGTTTGACCCAAAAATGACCTCTGTGAGATCCCAAACTCATCTAAATTCTAAAACAAGTGACCGTTTAAATGTCGGTTTTCTAAACACGGTAGCGGAGCTCCGCCTATGCGCGCCGACGCTAAAAAAAAAATGGGTGAAAAGCGGAAGTCTCAGGCAGCTTTCGAGCAGGGAGGGGGTTTAAACCGGAAGTGGCTCGATACCAGAGGAGCGATCACACGGGGGAAATGTGGCTTTAAACAGGAGAGCTGAGAAAACACCACTTTGGGACCTGGTAACAAAATACTCAAGGTTAAAGCGGTTTTGAGCCAGAAACCAACGGCTGGGGATGGGAGCCAGATGTTGACTGTGTGATCGTGCATATAAAATCCGTTTCTGAAGCGTGATGACACCAGATCAAACGGCGCGTCTGAACGCGCACTGTGTGTGTCTCCTGGGCATTTATCTTATGGCTTGCAAATTCGCTTTGTCTGGGAGGAGATACAGGCTGAGTGTTCTTGACTTCCAAGCTGTCTCCCTGACAAAGGACAAACAAGCCATCAGAACACAGGTGGTAGGCCTAGGTCCGACTAAGCTCTTGCCAAAAAAAAAGGCCTTTCTTGCAGGGCTGCCAACCTCCAGGAGGGGCCTGGATATCTCCTGCGATTACAGTTGATCTCCAGATGGCTGAGATCAGTTCCCTTGGAGAAAACGGCTGCTTTGGGGGGTGGACTCTATGGCATTTATCCTGCTGAGGTACCTCTCTTACCCAAACCCCAAAATCTCCACACAGAGCTGGCAGCCCTATTTTCTCAGCTCATTTTTAAAATAGCACAGAGTATACAGAGTATATACCATTTTGCAGCACAGGAAGCTCTGAAGTTCTGAGTTATTTTTATCCATTATCACAAGGGTTTGTGTGTTTCACGGCTGTTTTAACAAAAGTCCCAAGTCTGATCTCTGAAGTTCTACAGAGATGGCTACCTACATGCCTGAGGCTCTCTGCCATCAACCCAGTGCAAGATGCAGTGAAGACATCTGGTATTGCTGGGTATTCCTTGATGCATTAGATAAGAACCATAATAGCTGGGAATGGGGCCTTTACTGCAGCTGCCCTGAGGCTCTGGGAGCCAGTACACGCTATGGTTGAAGCACTGGATTCAAACCAGGGAGAAACAGGTTTGACTCTCTGCTTGGGCTCCTAAGATCACTGGGTGACCACTCACTTTCTCTCTGTGGGATTAATCTACAAGGTTGTTATGAGGAAAATCAGGGTAACATGCTATCCAAGTGCACTGCCCTGAACTCCTTGAAGGAAGGCTGGCATATATGTGTGAGGAATGAATGAATGCCATTCTTCTTTATCCTTCCCTAGCATGGGTTGGGAAATGTATATCAATTCGTTGATTATTTTCCAGGGTGGTCTGTGGTTCTTTCACTGCCAGTTTTACACAGCCACTTTGTAATTTTATTTTGCTTTCATTCATGTATGAGCTGCTTTGAGCGGTATGCAAAAAGCAGCATAGATTTTTTTAAGTATATTGAAGTTTAGATTAAAACATAGAACTTAAATGGCTATGTCACCGTTCTGCGCCACTGCAAGCCTTATTCATGAAATGGGCTGCCCCTTACTATTCATTCATTCATTGGGGGGGGGGGTGGAATTGCCAAGACAGAGCCGTCGCTGTCCTCAAGCAAAAGCTCAGGCTCTGTCATGAGGGAGAGAGTTCCGGAGATGGAAAGTAGCTGCTGAGGAAGGGACGTCCTTGGTGGGGTCCCCATGTGAGCACCTTTGGAATTCTGCCATTGTGTCCTGGGCACAGCCACAAAGTGGCTCCCACAAAACAGCTGCTGCAGGAGATGGAGCCAGCCATGAAGTGGCTGACACAGCAAAGATCCTTGTGCTGCGGTGGCAGCTGCTGCCAAAGCAATGTGTTTTTTTTAAAAACCTGCACAGTCAATCAAATCTCCAGTGGCCAATCAGAACCCTTGCTGGGCAAAAGCCCCACCTGACCCCGCCCACTTTGTAAAAAGACCAGCAAGAAACACCAGGGTTGCAACACAGAGGCAGGCAATGGCAAATTACCTCTGAACATCTCATGCCTTGAAAACTCTACTGGGTTGCCAGAAGTCGGTTGTGACTTGATGGCAAACAACAACAAACAAAACCCTCCTTCCATTCCTTACCATTTCAACACAGAGCGAGCAGTAGTTGAATTTCTCTGATTTGCGGTAAACCTCCCGGAGGGGACGTTCATCATAGCAGTAGTCACACGGACCAAATACATTAGCCAAAAAGGTCTGGTCACACATCTTGCCTGTGAGGCTGGAGCTGAAAGGAAAGCAGGAGAGAAACAAATTATTTTCTGGGATTCATAGACCTAGCCTGTTGTGGAAGTTTCAGGTGGCGCTTGAGGCTTCACAGTTGGCTAAGAGAATCAGCCCCTGCACATCAGCAAGGCTGCTGAAAAATTGTCAAGTGCCGGAAGGGGGGGGGGGACGACCCCATCTGGATCTTTAAAAGGAGCAGACGAGGCCCTCGAGCTGACAAACTTGCCCATCGCTGCTTTATAGTGAGGCAAAACCCCCAATTTCCTAGAACTTTAAAACAGCTGCAGGGGAAGGGAATAAACTGTGATCCTGAAAAGTGTGATTCCTCAATATTTGCACATGACCCATGGATATTTAAGGAACACGTTAATAAATTGTGATACCATTTATTAAACTGGTATGTTTCATTTGTCTTTCCATATCTACAACTCCTTGCATCGTTTTTCTGTTTTGAGGGGATCATGATCTGAATAACACTCCAGCAATGAACTAAAGCTGGAAATTATTACCCACCATACGGTATTTCTGTTGGATATTGTAATTCTGTGTGCAAGAGGATCTGGGAGGGAAACGGTTAAGAGAACTCTGCTCCAGTGCACTTGGCAGTTGGCCCCAACCCCTATCCGTTAGATGCTTGAGCCTCTTTGGCCCTTGCTTGACTTTTGTGTTTCATCTTATATAGGACCTCTCTTCTTCTCTCTCTTACCTGGGCTTGGAACTGTAGGAAGTTAACCTTTTTGAAGTTAATCTGTTCACAATAAGTTAAATGTGCCTACATGAATATGTCATGTAAGACATGCTTCTGTTTTTGTAAGTAAATTTCTTTCTGTTTTTATCATTGGCGTCAGATCAGCATTGTAATTTGTTTGAATAGCGTTTTTCCCTTAACCAGGAAACGTGGTAGATTGGGAATATTACGTAAAGCTTCTGTTGCTTCCAAGGCAAATTATTTCTTTTTTACATTTAACCTAATAATTTTGTGGCCCACTAAGCATGAAAAAAACCAACCTTGCTAGCTCCTGTGCCATTAGCAGCCTGATCTGCAGGAATCAGCAGGGGCGAATCCTTCTTTCTAGGCTGTGAAAAGCTCCAGAAAGCTGCCGATGTTTGCCGATCATGTCACCATTCAAAGCTGGTAGGTTAATTTCATTTCTAAATTAATTTCTTAAAAAAATTAAAGCAAGGATTTGGGATGGGTCCCCACCTAATTTAAGGTGCTAGTTTGTCTGAAAACAGAATCTCATGTTGGTAGACCTGGGAGATATGAGAAAAAGGCGTATCTCTGCAATGGAAGGGGCTAAGGATTTGTTTTTTTGAATTCAGAAAACCTTCTAAAATTATCATTACAATGATATATGGATAATTGGTTCCAGCCTGGTGGAACTCTCTACCTGGTGACATCCGTACCCTGCGAGGCCTTGTTCAGTTCCACAGGGCATGCAAAGCAGAGCCGTTCCACCAGGCCTATGGTTGAGGACAGCAGTGGAGCACACTGTGGTTCTCACTGTGGCCCCCTCCATGACCAGCCCCTGATCCGCCCACAGGAGGGAGTAAACTGCATTTTTAAGCCATTGATTTGTTGCTATTTTTATTGGTAAATTGTAATTTAACTATTTATTGTAGTTTAATCCTGTTGTTCACTTAGGGCTGCCAAGTCCCCCCGGGGGGCAGGGAAACCCCCGCCCCAGAGGCCCATTCCCCGGCACCGCCGGATCGGGCCCCGGGGGGAACTCCTCCGTGACGTGCGCGTCACCAGGAAGTGACGCGGGCATGCCGGGAACACTGGGGGCGGGGCCACGGCTATACAAGGGAAAACTCTATGGTTTTCCCTTGTATGGTCGTGGCCCCGCCCCCAGCGTGCCCGGTGTCATAACGTCACCACCCGGGAGTCCCCCGTGGAACAGGTACGTCGCACTTGGCAACCCTATGTTCACTGTCCTGAGCCCTTCAGGGAAGGGTGGTTATGAAGACCACAATCTCTTTTCCAACACCCAGGCAGAATTTTCCCACCAAAAGTATTTTAGTTCTCCTCAGCGACTGAGTCGCTCGCCAGTGGCATGTATTTCTTCGTTGTTTGATAAGCTTACATTGTCCCACTCTGTCACAGATATTTGTTTAGGCTTTAGACCCAGTACAGGAACTTGAGGAGAATACAGGAGCTGTCCTGTTTTATAAACCCTTGTGAAATGGCCCTTGAGGTAGATTAACTTTCAAAACAGAATAAAGATTTTGTTAAACAGGCAGGGAATGTATAAATATGAGGATTCAAGGTATGGAAGTTGCTGAGATAAAACTTTTTAATATATACAGAATTGAGGCTTTTGAACATACACGAGAGTGTTGTTGAAGCTTAATTTCTGAGTTTCGAGTTCTTTTCAGTGAGGGGTTTTTACTTATTATATATTTCAGCTGTTACACAGAATCTTGAGTACAGTTTGTTAGAGAATAGCTTTGTCTTTGTTTTTTTCCTGGCTGGCTACCATGTAACTTTCCCCATAGGGGGACAACTAGTGGTGCCGCAGTTGCGCCATGGCCAGCCACGACAGTGCAGGCCCATCATAGGATTGCTCTGTAAGGAGAGCTGGAAAACATAGCCCAATTTCAGACAGCCTATGTATTCCGTTTCAGGAACCGTTCACTAATGGGTTTTTTCTGTCATTTCAGACAGACCTGTTTTAGTAACTGTTCCCTGACAGAATATATTTACCTGTTCACACAAAAACGCTTCTGTCCCATTCGGGAAGTGTGCCTGAAGTGTTGTTCACTGAAACTGCTTTCTACCAGTCTTCAATCCCTTCTACCGCTTCTGAAGCGCTATGGTGTTGTGTACTGGGTTCGATGCGTAGTGAAGACAGACGCTGAGTGATTGGCAGCTCATACTTTACTGGCACACAACACAACACCCAACAAACGGTCGAATGACCAACTATATACAGTCCCCGGGTGCCACCCACAGGTCCCATTGGCGGGTTTGAACTTCCCGCCACAGTTCCTATAGGTGTTGACTAGGAGTCTTAGGATCCTAGTCCCCATTGTTCTTTTGGAGCCAAGCTCTGGTCACATACCGCTGGTGCCTAGTGGCGGTCTGTGGACATAACACATGGGGTGCTGTATAAAATGCCCCGTAGTGCTTCCTACAGTGACAGTTCTTTTTGCGCCCTTATTCTCCCTGCCTGCGATAGTCCTCTTTTTTTAATGTTCTGGGCCATAGCGACCCCACTGAGATCCCTGGACTCCATTTAAATACACTGACGTTCGCTACCGCTGTCGCTCGGAACAAGTACCTGATTGGACAGCGTGTTTAAGCTGGAGATCAGGGGCATAAGTGAATGGTGAGACAGATGTTTAGTTGATTTTTTAAAAAGTTTGCTTTAGAGGAAGTGTAGACTCAGGCACACACACACAAGCGCACACAGTCCATGGTTTGTGGGAATTAAGGAAGGAAGGAAGGAAGGAAAGCTTCCTGGGTTTCAAAACTGTCCGGTCGTCTCTCCCCCCCCCCCCCAAACAACCCCCCTAAACGCTGCAGTGAGCTCCTTGTTTCCAGGGAACAGCAGTAGCGAATGTCAGTGTGTCTAAATGGAGTCCAAGCATCTCAATGGAATCACTTAAATCAAAACAAGCATCATTTACAAACATCGAGAGAACTCCCTTGCTGCCTCATAAGTAGAGTGGCCAGTCCACAGGTCCCACTCCCAGCAGGGAGTTCCCCCGGTTTTCGGAGCTTCTGCATCTGTATCTGATCCCTTCACTGATTCTAATCCCCCTGTGGAAAGTAAAATTAACCCCCTGAGTAATGTGCATCCAGATGTAGAATAGGGGCTCCGGTCACACGGGCAGGAAAATGCGCGGGGGGGGGGGAAGCGGGGCTGTTTGCCCCGGAGCAAAATAACGCGCGGTTGCACGATCAGACATCCCGTCGAGGCCCCGTGTTTAGGGGGAGGGGCCAAACAAGGAGGGGAGGAGAGGGGTGAGTACCCCCCAGATCCCCCTCCCTACCAGTAGCCCGGCCGCCCTCCCTCCCCCCCCGGTCACGCGGCCCGCTCTCCGCCTGGCCGCTGCCGCTCACCCCCATCGCAGCCCCCCGTGGCCCTCCCTCAGCCCCAACGACACGTGCGTCTTTGTGTGCATGCACTGTTGGGCGCTTCCGGAGGCATGGGGGGAGACAACCCGGCGGGCGCCGAATGCCACGGGAGTCGGCAGGGACGCGATCAGGCGCCCGCTCTTGCTGTGCAGTTTCCGGAAACTAGTACCTCGGAGGTACTAGTTTTTTACTGCGCGGCTTCGGCGGGAAGCCTCGGGTGAGCCACGGGAGCTCTACGCTCCCCAGATGTTGTGGTGAGATCGCGCCCGGAAAGTCTGTCTCTCTTCCGTCTATGCAGTGTGGCTAATGCTCCGTGTGACCGCAGCCTAAGATTGTTAACTTCTTTTGGAGCACTGCCGGAATATAGAGCAAAATAATATTGCCAACAGACTGCAAAATTTACAGTCTACTCTAGCGGACATTAGAAGAGAGTATTAAAAAAACACAAAATGATAGCAAGAAAGTTGGGACATCTCCATCTTTTAAAACTAAATCCCGTGAGATGGATACTGCAGAAGAAGAAAAAGAATACTATAACTCATAATTATGGAGGGGGTATTATTCCATCCCTGTTCAAAAAGCTTATTCATAAGGCCCCACAAGTAAGTGCACCAGAAACTGAATTGAATAATTTAAAATGTCCTTTTGATAGAACCACAGTAAAAATACTGTCTTGGAATATAAGTGGTTGGTACTGTAAGATTTCAATCCGAGATCAAAAAACTTTTAGCTACATTTGATATCATCTTACTACAGGAGACATGGACAACTGATAATATATTATTTCATGGCTTTAGGATGTATGTATTAGCGGCTGCAAGGGAAGATAAAGGTGGAAGACCGAGCGGTGGAATTATATGAATGGTGTCCACCAGGCTGGATTCCACTACTGTAGAAG